GTTCTTCTGAAAAAAAACTGAATGATGCAAAAAAAAAAAAAAAAAAAAAACCACCTCCTTAGTTTCATTACTTATTTTTTGATATACAAGCAATTCTGAAATAACAAATTCTTTCCACCAGTCTCTTTGAAACTTCTTAGCAATAAAAGTGCACTGATAATTAAAATATGAAAGGATGAATTAGCAGATCTTAAAATTAATAAGCAGAAAACAAAGTTAATACACACACACACATATATATGAAAATACAACAACAAAAAGAATTGATGAATAAAATCAATTTCAAGGTCAAAAAGAAGGTTAAATATTTGGGTATCACTATGACAAATATGACTTGTATGTTATCTCAAAATAATTAAATGAAGACATGGAATGTAGCTCAGAAAATGTTAAGATGGGACAAAGTACAACTTCATTATTGGGCAGAAATTCTGTGATTAAGATGAATGCTTTGCGTAGAATTTTATTTTTGTTTCAAACAATACCTGCTTTAACTATTGATGTACTACATAAGCAATTGCTAAATATGTATGGTAAGGGGAAAACACAAGTTAAATATAAGGTATTGAAAGATGCAAAAAAAAAGAAGAGAATTGGATCTATCAAATTTGACATTATACTTTGCAGGTCATTGTTTAGTCTGGATTAAAGAGTGGGTATCACTAAGAAACAAGTTATTGTATAGGAATTAGAAGGATACAATCTGAGATTTGGGTGAAATGGACACGACAAAGCTAAGGCTAATATTGATTTTGAAAATAATTATCTCAACTGTGCCATTCTGAAAATATGTAATAAATACAAACTTAGGTTGCGCCCGAAAACACCTTTGTGGCTCTCAACACAAGAATCATTTATGGATGAAAATTTAAATGATTTATATTTATGAAACTAATCATATTAGATTTTTTTTCAAAGGGAATGTAAAACAAAATCAAGAGAAGATCTAATAACCAAAAGATATATTGAAATTAATGACAAAAAACTGGGAAAAAGTCATGGAACTTTATTTTTATATATCTGTAAAATTATTATATGCTCAAAAATGGAAATGACTCCCCCGATTAAAGAAAAGGTAATATATGGGGAAATTATTGATTTTTTGCATAAAAAAGAAAAAAATGAACTTATGATTTATGATTTGATGTTAGGCAAAAAACTAGATAATAGAAAAAAGAGAGCTTTTTAGAGCAAGAGAGCAAGAGCTAACTTTGTAATTATACTTATATTTGCTGCAAATAAAATTGGAAATTTCTATTTTCTTTTTCTATGGGTTTTTTTTTGGGGGGGGGACTTCTTTCTTTCTTCCCTTATTTCTTTAAGTTCTATTAATTTTTGTTAGGTTTTACTTCCTTTTTAAAACTTTTGATATAAAATTATATTAAAAACAATGCAATATGCTTAATCAAATATATCTGTGGTTAAATCCTTTGTCTGCAATTATGACTTTCTTACCACATGGCTTAATTTCAAAATGTGTAGACGATTTATAAATATCATGCACATCTTTTCCTCTGTATTCATGCCAAAGATTGTATTACATGAAACAGCTCTCAAACCATGGGTATTGCACACTTTTCTTCCTTTTGCATGCGACAAGCCAATTTGCCAATATATCTATTATAACCACTGAGGATTTCATAGCATGCAATGAAGGAAGCAAGCTAGCTCAAAATTCAACCACATGTCAATATCAAATCTGTGCTGCTTACTAAAGGACAACCCCCACCCACCAATAAGAAAGTTATCAATTTAGTTGATCAATTTAGACTAGCTATCAAGTCACTCTCAACAATATTTATTAAGGACACAACGGATTGGGATATAAAATTCAGCTAAACCATAGAAAATTACTGTAACTTTGAATATGCAAAAAAAAAAAAAAGCTGTGGGACTTCAGAAATGTATTTTTCAATATTTTCCATCCAAATTACAATATATTGTACAGAAATCATCCTAAAAATCAGGTAGTGAAAAACTGTAGTTTCTTTCATTGTTGAATTGAAGGCACTCAGAACCACACTTGCAAACAAGTAAGTATATATTGTAAAATGTTTTGTTACTATTTTATCATATTGACTATATTAGTCTAATAAGGTTTTGAGAGAAAAGAAAACTTTTGGGATGTTTTCAAGTTAGGAAACATCCAATTTTTTTTAAAAAAACCATTGTTTTTAATAGATTTGTTTTTAGAAAGATACTAAAGACTATTTTTCCACATTTTTTCCGAGATATTCATAACATGGAATTTTAAGCCACATGCCTTATACTGCTAAATTTAAATACAATATAACTTGAATAAAAAATAAATGAATAAAATGTAACTAGTGATTTATTTCATCATTTCACTGAAAATACAACATATGAACCATTAAAGGTGAACTCTGCAGGAAAAAGTGAAATTAACTTAAATTACCTTTTACAGAAATATTCCATTGATCTCCAGAGTAACATATTTTGAAATAAACTTTTTTTTCATATGGTAATATCAGGTTGCTTATTCTCTGCTTCATGCACTCACAATCATAACAAAAAGGTTTGAACTAAAGCCATTCCGTACTCCAGATATGAAGGTAAAATGGTGTTTCAGAATGGGAGGGGGGGGGAGAGAATGTAGATTTGGAACACTTTACACCAACTGCACCTTCTCCTGCGATCACAGGGCACAAGTTGTGCATGGTCTTAGTATGAACCAGAGTTTATCCAAAGGCTGCAAATGCACAAGAAACATCTCATCTTAGAAGCAGTATTACATGTGTAAACTTACCCAAGTGTTTGGATACAAATGGTACCAAAGCACCTTTACTTCCATTACCCTTGGAGTATTACATCAGTTACCAAACATAACTTGGCCATTAAAGTATGCTGGGTATACAGTCTGTTTCTATTTTTGTTTACTCCATCTAGTAATATTATTTCCCATGGGATAAGGGAAGCAGGAGAGAAACGTCTACATTAACTGTTTAAATTATTAGGTTTAATTTTTAAACAGTTAATAAATTATTAACTGTCTTATTTTCCCATAATGGATGTCTGCACACCAGGGAAAAACTATACCAGCTTCAATAATTTCTCCAATTACAGATTTTCGGAGTATATTTTGGTATGAGGCATGAAGTATGAGCCATAGAAGTGTCTAAATTAGGGATGTCAAACTGGTGGCCCATGGGCCAAATGCGTCACATTCAGGCCACACCCACCACAGCTCCATGAAGGAAAAAAACATTGTGGTACATCACATGGCAGCAACAGGATGCAGCGAGTTTGACACCTGTAGCCTAATTAAACAAGTTATGAGAAGAACGTTTCCTCCGAGATGACATTTCTGTCTTTGACAGAGAAAACATTCTACTGACCCTAAAATAACTATCAGATCAATATTCTAGCCTTGTTATAGCATTCATATTAATAAGACAATATAATGGCTCTCAAGAAATAATGCAATACTTAATGTACCCTTGTAATGTTAAGTTACAAGACACAGGCAAACAGCCCAAGACTTATATGAAGCTTTTTCTATTATCAGAAAACACATATTTTGACTACTTACTTACTAACCATAAATTAATCACATTTTTCAAAGATACAGGTCATATATTCAACTAATACATTTCTTCAGAATCTTGTTCCAATTTGTGCAAAGAAACATTATTCTATTAAGTCCTACATAGTGCCCCTAGGCTTTAGATATATCCACTTATTCACACAGTTGTTCAAAAATATTTATGACTTCATTAATAGCTCAAGAAATTCTACTCTTTCCAATATTAACAAATGGATGCTCTGTTTACCAAGGCATCCAAAATAAGCCAGATTCACATATTTTGGGGGATCAAAGAAAAAAAAAAGGAAGTGAAAAACAAGTAGTTCACCCTACACCCTATTCCATTGTGATATTTATAGTTATCTTCTAATCTCTACTTAAGAGAGGAAGTTTCCTGCCTATAGATCATTAGTACATTTGCTTCAAAAGGATGGTGGCATCTTTCATCTTTTTTTGCAAACATTTAAAATGTTCATGTATTTCTGATTTGGTCAATCTTTTTCCCTTAGAAACCATACTTTGAATGTTTAAAATTTGCTTTGCTGCATAATATATGATAAATATACAAGTCATTCTTTCCTTGAATTTGATCAAACATCTGTTAATGAATAAACGTCGTTAATTTGACCACTGCCGCACATTATCCAAGTTTAAGTTCCCAGACTTTTGATTTGCTGGAGTAGAGAAAGATGGTTTACACAAAGACATTATTGAAAACAGATCTACAATCCAGCATGTAATGAAGTTACCTAGTTTGGGTAATGCAAGAAAACGACTGCCCTTCATTTCCACTTGGAGCTACAAATCTTCTCTTTTATTAATTAATCCAAGATATAAAGGAAGGACATACACAAAGAATCAGGAACCTGGTGAAATCTCCAAGCTAAAAAACAAAAGTTTAAAATATACACCTTGTTCAGAATCACGCTTGCCCACAGTAAAAATTAGCCCACGGACCAACACCAGAAGCTCTTCTCTGGGGTCAGATGCCCAAACACAGCTGTCGTTTGTGCATCCACAGCAGGCCCTCCGCTTAGAGGGTGGGGGCGAACAGGCTTCATTAAGCACGGAGTTGTCCGACGTGCTTTCCTGCTGCTTTCAAGGCACCTCCGAAAACCCTTGTCAGTTTCCATCAACTCCGCCGTTGCCTTCACGTCTCCCACCTGCCTTTTCTCTCAACCGCTGCTCAAATCTCGGCTTTTCTCAAAGCCGCCCAGTTCAGCCCACGCATCCCTTTGCCCCATACACAGGAGTTCCGTAAAAGCGCGGCCCTTTCCCCCGCTTCAGTGACGGGCAGCAAGAGCCACGGTTGCCTGGGTTTCTTTTCCAGACGACCCGCCTGATGGGGTGCCGGGAACTGCACTCCCCCCCCCCTACACACACACACCCCAACAGAGGAGCCCGAATGCAGGCCTTTCTCCCACGCCGTCGGCTCTGTTCCGCCCCTCACACTTACCGGTGAGCAGGGAGGCACCCCCACCAGCAGGGGCGCTATCAACGGCCGAAGGGGCGGGGTGTTGTTCAGGCGGCTCCTCCCCGACAGGCCCAGCATTAGCAACAACGGGGAAAACAGTGGGCCCTTGGGAGTATTTGAGGTCGCGGAAGAACTTCTTCGTTTCGCGCAAGTTGTGCTGCAATCGCGTTAGGTGCCGGTTGTAGTGGCCGAACGTGCGGCACAGCTCGCGGTTTAATCCTCCGCCGGAGCCGCGGACGGTGGGGCCTCCCCATCCCTCCGACATTTCCTCCGCAGGGGCTTCAACTCCAGAGTCCTCTTCCCACCACGGTGGGGAGTCGGACGATGCCAGGCTGTCGCTGCCGCCTTTTCCCCAGGCTTAACCTCCTGCTCCCCTGTCAGCAGCGACGCATCCAGTCGCACTGCGCACGGAACGGAACCTTTATCCGGGCGCTCTGCCGGGGAGAGGGAGGTGGCCAGGGGCGGACCTCATACGGATATTTTTGGTCGCCTTGAACTATGGGGGATGTAGTCGTATTTGGGAAAACTTCCCTATTATAGAAGTTCATTTCTTTATAAGGAGCCTGTCTCTGAAAGCAGGCGTTTTTCCCGAACTGTATCCTGGATTTTGTAGTTTTCAAGTTAAACACTGAAATGTTTTCCGTTCTCTGCAAGGGCTAACTTGCTGAAATTCAGTAGCAGGTTACGAGAGGCTTTAGACTAAGTATAAATGGGGAAAAATGGAAAAAGCAGTGAACGGGAAGTTTGAAAGAATATAAAACCTTCAAGTGTAAGAGTATGAACGGTAGAAGATTATGCAGTTGACTCGCTTTTGTGAATATCATTTCAAAGTTATTTCCTTGGAAAATAAAAATAAAAAGGTTCATTCTCTGAATCGAACTAAGAATGAAGCACTGGTAACCTGTATTGCTGCCAATAATGCAACATGTATGTGTTCAGATAGTCACAAAAAGCAAGCTTGGAAGAGATGTTAAATGAAATGAATTTAAATGAAATGATGGATGGATCAATTTTCAACATGATTTAAACTTTTCTCCAATTGCAAAAACTAGGAATGTATAGTATACCTTATGAATGTGTTAGTTAATTAAATGAGTAATTAAAGCACATATGTCATCATACCGAAATAAATAAATCATAGCAAGCCCCACTGTTTTACTGAACAAATGCATATCCTTCTGTAAAATTTTGAAAGATCATCCATCTAAAACTTAGTAAGACTCTAAAGGAATAGGATCTAAGAGAAAAATTACGTTCTTTTTGCATTCATTTGGTGACTGAAGAAAATTAACAGATCATTCAAACTACCTTGTAATAGAAAATTAATATTAGGAGAAGCAGAATAGTGGTTGCATAATGAAGATGTAAACGATAATAAAGGCAAGTTAAAAAAATAAAGAATAATGAGATATATTACTGTTTCTTACATTTGGGTTACATTGTAATGTAGATCTACATTACCACATTAAGCAGTAATCCTTTTAAACAGTTATACAAGTAATATTTTGAATAGTTGCTGCCAATGCAATGTTATCACATGATATTTTTAGGATCCAAAGCGTTGAGTTTTGATTTCCATGGAGATAACTTAATTATAACAACAAAGTTATTTGCCTGAATGCATACCCATCCTCCTGCTGGCAGATGTAACTCTGGATAATTCCCATAAAATAAAATAAAAAAGGAATCCTTTATTCCTACTTCATTTTGAATGACCTTCAGTACCCCTTGGCCACTATGAACTCAGCTGAACTGAAAGGATTATTTGTGCAAAAAGTGTTGTACCATAATATTCCATTTCGTGGATCATTCTGTTTTCTTTTTTTAGAAAAGAAAATGCTATTAGAATATAATATAATTATTTATTGGTCAAGTGTGATTGGACACACAAGGAATTTGTCTTGGTGCAAATGCTCTCAGTATACATAAAAGAAAAGATACATTCATCAAGAGTCAAGAATCATCAGGTACAACACTTAATAGTCATAGGGTACAATTAGCAATCAAATCATAGTAAGAAACAGTTAATACAGATTGTAAGGATACAAGTGACAAAGTTACAGTCATACAGTCACAAGTGGGAGGGGATAAGTGATAAGGAGTGATGAGAAGGTTAATAGTAATAGTAGTGCAGACTTTGTAAATAGTTGGACAGTGTTGAAGGAATTATTTGTTTAGCAGAGTGGTGGTGTTTGGGGGAAAATGCCCTTGTGTCTAGTTGTTCTGATGTGTGATGCTCTATAGCATCATTTTGAGGGTAGGAGTTGAAACAGTTTACATCCAGGATGTGAGGAGGTCTGTAAATATTTTCACAGTCCTCTTTTTGACTTATAGCAGTATACAGGTCCTCGATGGAAGGAAGGTGGGTACTAATTGTTTTTTCTGCAGTCCTAATTATCCTCTGAAGTCTGTGTCTATCCTTTTGGGTTGCAGAACCAAACAAGATAGTTGTAGAGGTGCAGATAGACTCAATAATTCCTCTGTAGAACTGTATCAGCAGCTCCTTGGGCAGTTTGAGCTTTCTGAGTTGGTGCAGAAAGAACATTCTTTGTTGTGCTTTTTTGATGATGTTTTTGATGTTAGGTGTCCATTTTAGGTCCTGTGATAAAATGGAACCTAGAAATTTGAAGGTCTCTATTGTTGATACTATGTTGTCTAGTATTGTAAGAGATGGTAGTATGGGAGGGTTTCTTCTAAAGTCTACCACCATTTCTACAGTCTTGAGTGTGTTGTTCCAGATTATTCTGGTTACGCCACGAGGCAAGTTGTACAACCTCCTGTCTGTATGCGGATTCGTTGTTGTCTCGAATGAGACTAATCACTGTTGTGTCATCTGCAAACTTCAGTATTTTAACAGATGGATCGTTTGAGATGCAGTCATTGGTATATAGGGAGAAGAGAAGTGGAGAAAGCACACAGCCTTGGAGGGCCCCTGTGCTAATTGTACAGGTATCAGATGTGATTCTGCCTAGCTTCACCTGCTTCCTGTCTGTTAGGAAGCTTATGATCCACTTACAAGTGTGTTCAGGTACCGCTAGCTAGTTTAATTTAGTTAGAAGAATGTCTGGAATGATGGTATTGAATGCTGAACTGAAGTCTACAAAGAGGACCCTTGCATAGATATTTGGAGATTCAAGGTGTTGTAGGATGTAATGCAGAGCCATGTTAACAGCATCATCTGTCGATCTATTTGCTCAGTATGAAAACTGTATGAGATCTAACAACGGATCCGTGATGGTTTTCAGGTGGGACAGCACTAGCCTTTCAAAGATTTTCATAACTACAGATGTTAGAGCAACTGGCCTGTAGTCATTCAGTTCCTTGATAGAGGGCTTCTTTGGCACTGGGATGATAGTAGAGCGTTTGAAGCCAGAAGGAACATAGCACATCTCTAGTGATTTATTGAAGTTTCAGGTGAAGATGGGGGCCAATTGGTCAGCACTGACTTTTAAGCAAGAAGGAGTTATCTTGTCTGGCCCTGGTGCTTTTCCTGGCTTTTGTCTGTGAAATAGATCTTGCACTTCTTTTTCTGTGATCATCAGAGAGTGTGAACTCAATGGATTGGGGTCAGTTGGCTTGGCTACTGTTGGTGTGTTTGAGATGGGGGTTGTAAAGATAGGTGGCTGTAGTTTCCTTTCAAACCTGCAGTAAAACACATTCAGGTCATCTGCTAGTTGTTGATTTCCTTCTGCCTGGGAAGGAGGTTTGCTGTAGCCAGTGATGTTTTTAAGAGTTTTCTACATGTTTGCTGGTTCATTTGTTGAGAACTGACTCCTTAACTTTTCAGAGTAGCTTCTTTTTGCTGCTCTGATCTCTCTTGTTAATATGTTTCTGGCCTGATTGTATAGCATTCTGTCACCTTTTCTGTAGGCTTCCTCTTTGGAATGACATAGCCGCTTAAGTTTAGCTGTGAACCAAGGTTTATTGTTACTATATATTTGCAGGTTCCTGGTTGGTACTATATATTTGCAGGTTCCTGGCTGGTACACATAAGTCTTCGCAGAAGCTGACATATGATGTTACAGTATCTGTGAGCTCATCTAGGTCTGCAAAGGTATCTTCAAAAAACATTCCAATCGGTGCAATCAAGGCAAGCCTGGAGCTTCAGCTTTGCCTCATCAGACTAAGTCCTCACTGATTTAATTATTGGTTTCATGGTTTTAAGTCTTTGTCTGTAGGTAGGTACAAGGTGAATCATGCAGTGATCAGTGTCCCGCAGCTGCTCATGATAAAGACCTATAAGACCTATTAGGATATAACATTTAATTTCTCCAAATATTAAAATAGTCATATCTGGTTAACTGATTGGCTTGAATGTTACTATCAATGCACACAAAACCAGAGCCAAATCTCATAATTAAGCACAATGCTTAATAAATTTTAAATGACTTTGCACAGGATTGTGTTTTTTCATTCTCACCATTGTCTCTTATCCATAATTGCCAGACAAATTGCTTTAAGCATGTATCAATAAGTTATGAAAAGTGTTTATTCTGAAGAAATTAGGTTACTGACTTCTTCAACTCTTATTGTATATTTTCTTAGTGGTCATGTAATAAATTCTAGTAATTGAAATAATAAGATAATGTCTTGTATAAGTTATTCCACAGAATTCTGTTAACTGTATAAGCAACATGTCCCATTCTGCTATATATCACCAACATTAGATTCCCTTAAAATCAATATAAATATTATTGGCATAGTGGTTCGAGTGCAGTACTGCAGGCTACTTCTGCTGACTGCCAGCTGCCTGCAATTTGGTAATTCAAATCTCACCAGGCTCAAGGTTGATTCAGCCTTTCATCTTTCTGAGGTGGGTAAAATGAGGGCCCAAATTGTTGGAGGCAATATGCTGACTCTGTAAACTGCTTAGAGAGGGCTGTAAAGCAATGTATATGTGTCTAAGGCTCATGCTGGGACATAACATTGAATTTTTGGGGGACGGTTTAGATCCACTTGGACCGTCCAGGAGCAAAGATATCGGCTGTGATCTCAGATCTCCAAGATCGCATGCTGTATCGTCGCGACGCCAGCTCCGCCCCGGTGAATGTAAAGAGCGCATCCTGTTGATCCCAGAGATATCGCAAAGTCCCTGGTAGATCCAGGAGAAGCTCTTTTTGCCAGCGGCAAAGAGGCAGCCATTAAAGCTGCGGAAGTTGGGACAGCTCCGAAATGAAAGAGAGAGTGTGCCGGTTTGGTGAGAATTTTATTTTAAGACTTGAAAGGACACCCTAAGGGAAAGAAAGAATCTGTAAAAGTTTTGACAGAAGTGATTAAGCGGCGATTTTAAACAGGAATGTCAAAGTAATATTTTTTTTTTCTCATTGCTGGATTTTCTACACATGATCTTATATTTTGAAACTGGACTGGGTTTTTTTTTCTTTTTTTATATATATTCTTCTTCTCTCCTTTTTGATTTTATAATATTCTAAG